TGGTAGAAGGATGTTGGAGATGGAGCTGCCAGGCAAGAGGTCAAGAGGAAGGCCAACGAGGAGATATATGAATGTGCTAAAAGAGGACATGAAGTTAACTGGTGTGTGAGTAGAGGATGTCGAGGATAGAGTTAGGTGGAAACAGATGATTCACTGTGGCGACCCCTAATGGGAACAGCCGGAAGAAGAAGATAAAATGTGGACCAGATGAAATGTGGTGCTCTTTGGTCCACACCTGGACCATGTGGCCCAGAGGGAACAAAGTGAACAGAGGTTCATCACCTCTGAAATGGTTCAGTTTGTTAATCACGTTCAGCATTTTAAGCTAGTCTTGATCTGATGTGGCCTTGATGGGGGGAAACGGTAAAAGTGCCATAGTTTTGCTTTCATAAATAAACCAAAGGTTTTATAAATGTGAATGTGTGTTCCAGATAGGGCTATGTATTGGCAAGAATCTGGCGATAGGACATGTAACACGATACAGGAGTTGTGATTCTGTAAACTAAGTGATATATTGCAATTTTTAAATCTAATTAAAAAACCGCCATATAATAAGCAGCACACCACCATGAAAACTCCTGTAAAAATGTACTTTTTATGCCTTCACAACGGGATCTGCATTTGTCACAGTAATATCCTACAACACATACAGTACCTACCTTGGCATGTGAGCTATTAATTATAAATGGACACTGTTTTTGAGAATCGAGTATCTCAAAACGTAATATTGCGATCCTCAAGTGTATCGATATTTTCTTGCGCCTGTACTTCCAGACCACATGAAGACTTTAAAGGGGTGAACTGCATCGAGGACTGTGTCTCTGTTCTCTGCAGTGTTTATTGTGTGGAAGTCTGTTTCACCCTCTGGTTAAACAATACCTACTTTCACATTTAAGAAATAGTCAGTTTTTTTGTTGTTGTTTTTTTTTGAGTTAAAACAGAGAAAAGTCAACTGCAGGATTTTTCTCCTGGTTTAGTTGGTTGGGTCAGTGGAGGTGATGAACTGTCTCTGTCTGCTGCCCGTGTCAGAGTTGGACAGTTTCTCTCTGAAGTTCACATTTGTCTGCATTAAATTGTCTTTGTTGTTGCTGTGTCAGAGTTTGAGAATGCAGAGACGCTGCTGAACTCAGAGGTCCACATGTTGCTGGAACACAGGAAGCAGCAGAACGAGAGCGCCGAGGACGAACAGGAGCTGTCCGAGGTCTTCATGAAGACCCTGAACTACACGGCTCGATTCAGCCGCTTCAAAAACAGAGAGACCATCACCGCTGTACGCAGGTAACGCTCCTCTCCTGTCTGGAGGTCTTCTGTAGACCAGCAGATGCCATGCATCAACCCAGCACTCCCTTTTCCTCACTAAAAGGAGCATGTCAGCTCATCTGTGTTTTGCACCCGAGTTTGATACACTGCTAATGTTAGCGTTAGCCAGGGCATTACTGTGGCTGGGAGACTGCAGCACATGGGACACAGTGTGTTCTTGTTGAAGTAAAAGCTTCGTTATTGTAGAGCTGCTTCCTTACTGCAAGTGTTGCATTGTGCTGTGTCATCATGTTTTTTATCAAAGCTATGCCGAACCTTCGTGTGTTTTCTGTGGTCAGCCGTGGTTGAGGATGTGAACAGAAGAGTCTCTTCACATGCATTGTTGACCTGCTGTGCAACAAATGACGTGGCAGATAAGTAGAACAGTTATGGTAAATGGACTGTATTTATATAGCACATTTTTCCACAGTGTGTTGCACTGGCCAAAGCACTTTACAGGAGATGATACACCATTCACCCATTCACACACAACATTCACACACCGATGACGACAGGCTGCCATACAACGGTGCTAGTCAAGCCACTGGGAGCAATTCGGGGTTCAGTGTCTTGCTCGGGGACACTTAGGCATGCGGGGAGACCGGGAGTCGAATCACCAACTTGCTCAGGAGACGACTGCCCTACCTCGTGAGCCACAGCCATCCCTGTCCTGTAACGCTCATTGCAGTTCAGTCAGGAGCACAGCTGACGTATGCAGCAGTTAGGAACTGAAACACAGAATCAAAAATGCAGCTGTCTTAATGAATTCACAGTTCTTGGAAAGTTGGAATCCTAATGCGCCTCCTCTGTCTCTCTGTTGTGTCTTCAGTCTCCTCCTGCAGAAGAAGCTCCATAAGTTTGAGTTGGCCAGTTTGGCAAATCTGTGTCCTGAAGCTGCTGAAGAGGCCAAAGCCCTGATTCCCAGGTCAGTGTGATCCAGAGTGCACCCACACAGACAGCTGGAGCTGGAGTTTCCTACTTTACCACAGATGGCTGAAGCCCACTAGGTCAGGCAGAAACATGAAGGGAGAAGCTCTTGGTTGGAGTCTTTGAAAAGATTTGTTCCTCAAGATGATTTCAGTCATTTTAAGTTAATTTTCCTCGAATTAACAGCACTGGTCATTCATTTTTTTTTACATGTACATGAAAGCCTGCCTGAGACGCTCCTTTCCTTCTTCTTGGACGGGCTGGGGACGTTATCCCTCATTTGTGGTGCCCAGGCGTTTGCTGGATCCTATGCATGCTTGCCTTGTGACAGTCGTGGGGAGTGAAGAAGGGTCTTGGCACGCTAGGCCGTGTTTTTCTCGGCTTCGGCGGCGTGTGGTGGATAATGATGCTTTGAAGACACTTCGCTTCGCTACTGCTGGCCTGTTTTCTACTGCTATCAACCAGGCCATTGAACGGTGTGACGCAGCCAATGGGGATGCAGAGGGTCTTAGCTCTTGGTTTCAATTATCATGCTGCTCCATAATGGACGTGGTGGCTCCACTGAAAACGACGCGGATGAAGGCGAAGCCGGAGCCCTGGTTTGGCATTGAAACCCCGGTGGCCAGACAAATTTGCTGCAGAGTGGAGCGGAAGTGTAAGAAGGATCGACTCCAGGTGTCACTTCAAATTTTAAAGGACTCGTGGCGAAATTATCAGAGGATTGTGGAAGGGGCCAGAAGGGAGTATTTGTCAAATGTCATTGTAGCAAATAGACAGAATCAGCGTGTTTTATTTGAGACAATTGGGGCTGTTTTGGATCCCCCACAATCTAACTGGTTGGATGCATCTCCTGAA